TTGGTAATGACCACGGGGGAACTGGAGCTGGCTTGTACCCTGCTGAGTCAGACTGAAGCTAGAATAGAGAGTGCCAGCCCTGGAGAAGACAGTGCAGGAGTCCCCAGAGCCCTTTCCAGAAATGGCTCCCTTGAACACATTTCAAAGAAGTGAGCTCAGCCAGGAAGCTTTTAGAAACATAATAAATGCAACCCCACTTGCTACCCAAATCCAGAGCTAAGCTCCTCTAGTCCCCCGGGGGTGGAGTGACCTCTCTCACATGCTGCCAGGAAACCCTTTGGTTTTCTGCAGGGGCCCAGCCCCATTCCCTCCTCCTCAGAGGAAGCACTTTGCTGCCTGTGGTGTGGACCGGAGGGCATTTCCGTTCTGGTGGATAAATCCACTGGGGAGTGGGCTTGGGTGTCTAGAAAGGAGACACCCTGACACAGAACAGCCCCTGGAGTGGCCCTTCTCCCCTTTTAGGGGGTCCTGCACCCTTTCAAGCATCTGGTAGAAACTGCAGATGTTCCTCACTGGAAAGGGGGCCCCAGCACAAGTCAGGGCTTCAGGCCCCACACCCAGGAAGCGGCAGGGAAAGCACACGGGCTAGGCTGGGTCCCAGGCCTGGCAGGGCAGCCGTGACCCATCTGTGCTGCTCTGGGCTGTCGGCAGGTGAGGCACTGGTGTCCCCTCTCCGGGCCCTCCCTGTCCTCTGCTTCTCTGTGCCCTCTGACTGCCCACGCCCAGCTCCTGCCCTGTTGGGGCCTGAGCTGGAGTTCCTACCGGGGACAGGGCGGCTGTGCTCACCGTGTGGCCAGACCTGCTCCCAGGAGAGCTGGCTGGTGGATCCCTGTGTGCCGGGGCTGGGCTGGGCAGAGCTGCTCTGGGTCCTCGTCCAGGAGGCCTGGCCCCTGGGCTCTCCCTGCTTTATACGGCCGCCCCGCCTGCCTGCCAGCCCGTGGTGCGCTTGCCTCGCATTCCTAACCCTGGGATTCCATTGGGGACGCCGGTGGTGAAGGGGGGCGGTGCTGACAGCGTAGATAAAAAGACCCAACAGACAGGATGTGGTCTGATGAGAGGGCAGGCGGGCTGCCCTTTGGAGGAGAGCGGACAGCATCATTAACTGCAAATTGCCAGCTCAGACCCTCGAGTCCCTGGGCGGGGTTCTGTGCCCACCCTTCATCACCCGCAGGGTCCTGCGTCTGTTGGGTCAGCACCTCACTCTCTGGAGAGGACATGGGGCGGGTGGACTTCTACCCCGACATACCTGCTACCCGGCTAGCAGGATGGCCCTCGGGCAGGAAAGCCACAGAAACCCATGAGGCCCGTGGTTCAGAGGCACGGGGCTGCGAAGCTAAGGCAGGTGCACCTCCTGGCAGGTGGAGCCCTCCAAGACCTGTTCTCCAGGAACCAATCAAGGGGGCATGGCAGATGCCCAGGGCAGCAGTGGAGCATTCGCCTGTGGCCCCCAGCCCCTCCCGTCCCATGCCCCACCCTGTCACTGAGGATCACCTCTGGGAGGCCAACAGGAGGACCCAGCCTGTGCTGGGATTCTCCCTCCACTGAGAACAGGCAGGTGCGTGATGAGGCAGCCCCGCCCCCACTGTCAGGAACTGAGCACCGAGGACCTCCCCCAGCCCAGTGGCCCCACCCGGCTGACACACCCCTGCACCTGGCGTGCTGGGGGCGTGTCAGAAATCATGGGAATAGGAAGCGTGCAGACACTTCCCCAGCGACCTGAGGTCAGCACTGGAATCTCCACTTCTCTTCGGGCTGAGCACCCAGGTGCGGGCGGAGGGTCTGTGGATCGAAGCCCATGCCTGCGCTGTGCTGGCCAGAACTGGCTTCCATCCCCGAAGCTGGGCTGCCTCCAGTGGCCTGAGGAGGCCCCATCCTGGGTGTGTACACGTGTGTGTGTGCTCGTGAGACGAGGTGTGGTGTCCTTCTGTCTCCCTGGTTGGTGCTGGTTGACTCTGACAGTGGACCCTGGGGTGCCGCCCACGGTGGGTCCCTGGTGCGCTGAGAGCCTGGGGCAAGGCCTGCCCTCACCGTGTCTCAGCGCCCTGCGGTGTAAAATGAGGCTTGGCTTCCCGAGTTCTGCTTCGCAGAATTTCTCTGGAATGGCCATGGAATTTGGGGAGGGCAATGTTGGGTCCAACCCTGCAGGCACCCCTCCGCCCCACAATCACCCCTCCACCCCGCACGCACCCCTCCGTCCCACACGCACCCCTCCGCCCCGCACGCACCCCTCCGCCCCGCACGCACCCCTCCGCCCCGCACGCACCCCTCCGTCCCACATGCACCCCTCTATTCCACACACGCCCCTCTGCCCGACAGGTACCCCTTTGCTCCACAGGCCAAGCCCCAGCTTCCTGTGTTTGAATGTTAGGCTCCCAGAAAAGGTTCTGCTTTGACCCAGTGTCCTTTTTGAGGACTGAGGTCTGAGGCTCTGAGAGGGGCCACAGAAAGTTCTGCATGTGGGGGGCTAGTCTGGGGCAGGAGCAATATTGGGGTGAGAATGAGGGGTCCCCACATGGCCCACATGTTCCCCAACTTCAGGTCCCTGCCTGCCCTACTCAGACTGGGGTGCCTGGACCCCAGTCAGGTGTTGGATTTGGCACCAAACCTGCCAACTGGTCTGGTTCCCCTCCCCCATTCCTCCACTTCCACCCCTCCCCCACCCCCACCCCTCCGCTCCTCCTCCGCCACCTCCACCCCCCTCCCTTCCACCCTGGGAACTCCCTGATGGAAAAATTGCTTCCAAATGTCCTTCCTGGGCTTCTGAAAGCATCTGGGTTCCCCCACCTCTTGAGCAATTGGGGGTGACAACTGTGCCACTGTTTCTGCCACCACCAGCCGAGGTGGCAGGGTCCAGGCTGCAGGGCAGCACAGGGTGGCTGGGGCTAGATCAGCCCCAGGGTGGCAGTACCCATCAGGGCGGCTCCAGGGCTTTTCCTGCTGTCTGGTAAATGCAGGGGAACGAGGAAAGGCGGGGGTGGGGCTGGTAGTGCAGGAAGCCGCTCTGGGGGTGGAGTCAGTGGGCCACTCTCAAACCTGTGGGGTTTCCTGGGAAGCTGTCCTGACACGGGTCCAGGCCAGGTCCCAGCACGGCCAAGCTGACCAGCAGCCCCTACCCGGGATTCTCAAAGCGAGGAGGCTGGGACTGAGGTGACAACGCCTGGCTGTGCTAAGCCCCGGCCCTGGCCCGGCTCACAGACCCCTCCCTCCCAGCCCCCTTTGGCCACATGTCACCCCCAAACTGGGTTCCGTGACTGGCTCAGCCACAGCCAGCCTCCACCCGACTGACCTTCCAATTCTCCGCCTGGCTGTGGACGACAGCAGTGCCCGTGTCGTGGCGTGGGGTTGTCAGGTAGCACTGTGTGCACTCAGGCGGTGTTCACTGCTGCTGCTGGGGAGAGGTCAGGGTGGCGGTCCCCATCTAGGCCCAGGTCCCCAGGGCTGCTGGCCGACCCCCGCCTGCCCCGGGAAGCTGCTTCCCGTGCTGCTGGGCGGTTTCTGGCGTAAATGCAGCCCTTGTTTGAGGACCTCTGTGACTGAGTCCCTGAACATTTCCAGGAGCCACCGAAGGCTGGTCTAGTGGTGGCGGGAAAGGGGTGGTGTTGGGCGCGCCCGCACCTGGGGTGGGTGTGGCCCGTGGGGAGGCAGGTGGCCATGATCTGTGACTCCTGCAGCCTGGGTCAGGAGTCCCATCCCCAGGCATCTCCACTTCTGCCCCCCTCTTCTGTCCCCCCACCTCTGCCCCTCCTCTCCCACTCCACCTCTACTCCCCACCTCTGCTCCTCCTTCTTCTCCCCCCACCTCTGCCCCTCCCTCCTCTCCCCCTCCCCCTCTGCCCCTCCCTCCTCTCCCCCTCCACCTCTGCCCCTCCCTCTTCTACCCCTATCTCTGTCTCCCTCTACCCCCACCTGTCTCCCTCTACCCCCCGCATCTGCCCTCCCACCTCTGCCCCTCACTTCTGCTCCTCCCTCTTCTGCACCCTCCACCTCTGCCCCCACCTCTACCCCCCCCACCTCTACCCCCCACCTCTACCCCCTAAAGCTGTCAGAGCAGCGGGAACTATGCTGGCTGAGTGAAAGTCCACAGTGGAGGGAAGACTGTGAACCCGGACCTGGAAACCTCCAGCCGCAGGGTGGGTGTGAGACTCCCCTGGCTGCCCGCTCCCCACAGGTGCAGGGCAGAGGCTGAGCGCAGGGCAGGGCCACTGCTGCTCTTTCTAGTGGCCCCGTGTGGCGCCTCTAACACAGGTACTCAATAAATATTGGATTTGACTAAATAAACTCAGGGGCTTGTTTTATCCATAAGCCTCAAATTGGTTTTATGAATAAATAGCCACTGGGGACTGTTTGTTCTTAATAAAGCGTTTCAGTTCCTTGGAACTCCAGCCCCAGCCACAGGAGGGACCCACGAGACAGTGTGTCACCCTGGGGACCCGGGAGAGATGCGGAGGCGGAGCAGGCCCCCCGGGGGCACCAGGACCCACCCCAGTGGGCGCAGCTTGTGCGGGAGGTGGGCCCCAAGTCTGACTGACTAGGCCATCTTGCAAAGCCCAGAGCTGGCCCAGTCAGAGGGTCCTGAGCAGCCCCAGTGGGTCCAAAGCTTTCTGGGAAATGCCTTTCGACTGCCTTAATAAAAATGGTGGCCGGGTGTGGTGGCTCACGCCTGCAATCCCAGCAACTTGGGAGACCAAGGTGGAAGCGTGGCTTGAACCCAGGAGTTCAAAACCAGCCTGGGCAACAGAGCAAGACTCCGTCTCTACAAAAAGTTAAAAAAAATTGCTGGGTGTGGTAGTGCTCGGCCGTGTCTCCGCCACTCAGGAGGCTGAGGAGGGAGGACTGCTTAAGCCTAGGAGCTGAAGGCTGCAGTGGGCCACGATGGTGCCGGCACGCCAGCCCGGGTGACAGAACGAGACAGAGCGAGAGGCGGTCCTGGAACACGTGGGTGTCTGACCCACACCTGCTCTGACATGAGGCGTGGAGTTGGGTCGGAGGCAGAGACTGGAGCTGGGTCACCACGAGACTTTATTGAAGACAGAATGCACAGACACCAAGTGCCCACAGCCTGGCCTAGTGACGCTCCCATACCAGGCTTCCTCCGCGGGCTGCTGTGCTGGCCCCCCCGAGCTCCTTCCGCAGCCCTGGTACCCCCACGCCCCGGCCGGCGCTGTGTGGCTCAACTCAGACATAGCTGGTAGCGCAGCGGGGACCAGCATGGCCAGCCTTGGGCCAGAGCTCCCCGCCCCCACTCCTCCCAAATCCCACCGAGGCCCGACCTCAGCCCTCTGGGTTTGCCAAGTCCTGCCGGCTGCTGGGGCCACACAGTTTGGGGACACACTTGTCTCTGAAAGCAGATGAAGAAATGGAGGCCCCAGGAAGGCCGGTCCGCTGAGACCAAAGCTTACTGTCCCATCTCCTTGTTCTTTCTGGGTTCGGTGTGTCCCCTGCTGGATTCTCCTGCAGATGTGTTGCTCCTGAAGTCACAGGACAGGGGTCTGGCGCTGGCCACGAGCCTTCTTCTTGTCCCCTGTCCCCCATCTCACACAGACAAACGGCAACTCCCCTCTTCCTTCTCCTGCCTGGAGCCAGCGTCCTCGTGGTTCAAGATGGTTCAAGAATCCTCCAAATCTCTGCCTGCTCAGATGCGCCCCTGGGTGAGAGGGCCTCCAGAGACCCTGGCTCCCAGCTTCCGGGGCGCTGGCCCCAGCCAGGCCAGCCAGAGTCCTGTGTGGATGAGGACCGGTGGCAGGAAGGGTAAGGGAACAAGGAGGAGCTGGGTGCTGGCGATACAGCTTCTATCCCAAAGACAAGTATCACAAAACCACTTCAGTTGCAGCTGCTCTGTTCTTATCTCCAGCCGAATGTACTGAGGTCACAACCATGGAAACCAAGGGTCCTTCCATCCTCTGGACCCAGGAGCTCAGGCAGCCAGCTGGGTGGCCTTTGGTGTAACTCTCCGAGATGTGTGCAAAGTTTAGGAGAATGGAGGAAGGCCACTGGCTGATCCGTAGACCCTACCGTGCATGTGGAGGGGTGACGCACAGGCGCACCGCCTCCAGGTCCCCGTGTGGCCACGGAGAGTCCCCTCCCACTCAGCTTAGTCTCAAGCAGAGAAGCAGGAAGAGGTTCGGTCAGGCGGCCTTGTGGGATGGAGGGCCACGGCCATTCACCCTCAAATCGGGCCCTGGGGGACAGGGTTTGGGTTCTGTGGGTCCCCAGCGACCCTGTGCACAGGCTACCCTTGGCCTGGTCACTCAGCCCTCAGGTCTCGAGCTGTCCCTGGCCCAGGGCTCTCGCAGCAGTCCCATCCTTCTGTCTCCAGCCATTGGCACTGGTATCAGACTGCAGGCTCTGCAGGGCTAGGGCGAGAGGCCGTGGCCCAGAGCAGGTGTGGACAGACCGTTTTTCCCCAGTGCCAGCCTTTGAAGATGTCCCCAGGGAGGGTGAGGGCGGAGCACTGGCCTGGGCTCTCTCAACCATGCCAGGCTGTGCCCATTCAGCCGGTGCTTGGTGGGGCTGCATGCTCTCACCCAGGGGCTGGTACTGGAACCGGGCAGTAATGGGGCTCTAGAAGGGACAGACATCTCCAGTACAGCCGGCCATGGAAGACAGATGCTGCCCAGGTCTGGACCACAGGCTCCCAAAACGACCTCCACCTGCCCCCCAACCCCTCGCCAGGCTCCAGCCGGGGTGTGTCTGTTCCGCAGCCAAGGCCTGGCACAAGGGCCCCAGCGCCTCCTGCTGCGCCCACACAGCTGCGAGTCCATTAACTTCACACTCACCGGGAGTTTGTTTGATGACACATCAGAAAGCGCTTGGCACTTTCTAAGCAGCACCTGGCACGGACAGGCTGGCAGCTCCCGCCCGGGGCCTGTCGGTGGGGGGCTCCCAGGATGAGACTCGGGTCCCACCCAGCCCCTGTGGTGTGACAACATGCCCTGGCAGCCCAGGCGGTCTGGGTGGGCTCCCTTGGCTTCTAGAGGGTGGGGAGAGGAGCAGACGGAGGACTTCCCTTGGACTCTCCTGTGGTCATTTTGCCCAAATCTTGCCCCTCCTGGCCCCGCACCTGGGCTGCTCCATCTACCACCCCGGCCACACTGGGCTGCCGTTGCCTGATTCTTGGCTGCACCTGCAGAGGGCAGGGACCAGGTCCTGTCCCGTATGCAGGGCAGGTCGGGCCCATGAGAGGAAAGCGCGGCAGACATCTGTGTATGCGGGTGACCCGGTGGCGCTGGAATGCATGGCCAGGTCACACAGCCTCTCCTGCCACCCCCCTAGTGGTGCCAAGTTGGATTTATTGTTTTTTAAGCACAAACTTCGGAGGGAGGGGAAGGGAGAACGGAACCCCACACCCCCCAGGCACCTGCCATGGGGTGTCCCTTGGAGGAAGCCACCTCCCCTCCTGCCCGAGGAGGGGCTGCTGGGCAGATCCCCCAGGCTGACTCCAGACCTTTCGGGGCCTTGGAAAACCTGCCCTTCACCTGACGCAAGTGCACATGGGTCCGGGGCTGCTGAGCAGACAGCAGAGGACTGGGCTCCAACCCTCTGCCCTTGCAGCTGCTGGTCCTGGGAGTCTGCAGGTCTCACCTCCGTGTGCACACACAAGCAGGGGTGACAGCGTGCGGGGTGCTGGGAGGATTCAATAAGAAACTGACCAGGTGGTGCCTGGTCTGGTGCCCGAGTTCCCCCCTCCCTGCCCCATTTGCTGGGTGAGGCCGACCGTACCCCTTGACCACTTGCTGGGCCTGGGTCCGGGTGGCAGTGGCCAGTCACCGGCAGGGGTTGGCCTCCCCATGGAGGCAGTGGCCTCAGGGAGAGGATCATTGCCCCCGAGGCCCTCCGGGGGGGCCTCAGGACCCTTGAGTCCCTGGGAAATTGGGGGTGGGGGTGGCACAAGCCCCATCCCAGCCCTGCCTTGGCCCCAGCCCAGAAAACCAAGAGCTCCCATTGGCACATCCAGCACGATGTGCAGGCCCCGCCCACCTTCCAGAGGCAGGGAAAATGGGATAGGGCTCGCTGCCCGGGGTAGGAGGATGGCTGGGAGCTGGGTTGGGCCTCATATGAGACAGACAGCAGCTGGTGGGCACGGCAGGTAAGGGGACTGGAGATCCCAGTCCTGCAGGGGCAAAAGGTGGGTGGCCCCCAGGGAACTGGCCTCAGCCTTGGGGTGTGGGTCCCCGCCCACAGCAGCTCCCCAGCCTGGCCTCAGGGTATGGTGGGTTGTGGCCACAGCCAGGCTGGAGCCCTTGGGGGAGAGGTGGGTTCTCCAGGCACTAGGGAAATGGGGGTGGGGTTGGCATCAGGAGGGCTGGAGGACACTGGCCTCAGACCTGACCTCGGAGAGGCCTGACGTTCCTTCATGATCTGCTAGGAGGGCTCCAGGGGTGCTGTCTGCCCCTGGCTCTCTGTCCCCATGATGCCCAGTGTTTGGGTGGGCAGAGCAGAGGGCTGCCAGGGGCATCTGCTGGAGCCAGGGCGTGGGGCAGACTCCACCATCGTGGCCTGGGGACAGCAGACAGCGCAGGAGCCACAGTGGGGGAAAGTAGGAGTTGGGGTCGTCAAATTTGTCAGTCCCCATCAGCAGAGGCAAGAGACCAGTTAGCTGCCGAATGGAGAAGGTGGGGGCGCTGAGGTGTGTGTGACTTCACCCGCCCAGGGGGCTTCGTGTCAGGGATGGCCCGGCCCCTCCCTCCTGGAGATTGGGTCCACCAGGCACAGGTGGGTGGAGAACGTTCACGAAGGAGTGAGGTGAGGACGGGGATGGGGCGATGGGGAACCAGTGGGGCCAAGGAAAGGGTGCACCGGTCTAGCGGTCCTCCCGGACCGGCCGGATCTTCATCTCGGAGAACTTGAGTGAGTACTGCCAGCCGGTCCAGGAGGACCACTCCACGCCGTCAGCATAGGAGGCATGCGCCCCGCGCAGGTACTGCCCGTTGAGATTGGATGTGTGGCAGTTGCGGTACCACCAGGCCCCACGGTAGAAGGCAGCGCAGTTGTTCTCTGAGTGGTCGCCGTCACGGTCCTTGGTGGTGAACCTCATGCCGCTGTGCTTCAGGAGGGAGTCACCTGCGCAGGGGTGCACACGCGTGTGGGCACGGGTACGTCCTCGGGTCTACCACGTGTGAGCGGACACCGCGACACTGCACGTGAACCTGGACGTGAGTGCATACACGTGCGCACGCGCTCTCACACACACCTGCCCCTCCACACCCGGGTGCATCCAAGCTGCTTGCACGTGGCCCCTCCTCAGGCATGCCTGGGGCTGCCCCTGGGTCTATGGGGTCTCTATCCCTCCCTTGGCTTTTCCACTCTCCCCTCTGCTGCCTCCCCTTCCTCTGCCTGAGAGGGGAAACCCAACCCGGGGTGGTCCAGCCACACTTTAGAGACCCAGCAGACGCAAACCCTGGGTCTCCTGATTCCTGGCTCTGGGCTCAGTTTCTTCATCTGCAAAGTGGGAAAACTGTCCAGGCTCTGCTGACTTCTCCTTGCAGGGAGGGGTGAGGACCAAGTAGGACTTGGAGGGGGAGGCATGTAGCCTTGACCCTGACCCCAGAGGGCCGAAGGGTGTGACCGGGCAGGACCTCCTCCGTCTTTCGTCCACAGGCCGCCCCCCTTCCCCATCCCTGCCGCAGCTGGAGCCTCACCTGCAGTGCCGGAATAGTCAGCCACGGTGAGTGGGTACCCGTCATCCTCAGGGTCTACAGAGAACAAGCCCACACCGAAGCTCCCGTAGCGGGCGTAGGCCGTGCCGTTGTCAAAGTCCCCCAAGTCCACGTGCAGCTCGTAGGCGGCCTGTGTGGTCAGGGCGTGGATCCTCTTGAGCCCTGAAGTCAGGGAGAAAATGGTGGGAGAGGCTGAGGGGCATCGGAAGTGACTCCTCAGGGGGAAGTGATGAATGACAGACGAGCTCATGCAGTTGGTGGCAGAAAGCGACAACCACCAAATGCAGGCACTCAGCCCTGGGCTGCTTCCTTCTTCCTGCAGGCCTGTGCTCGGCAAGCCCTTGAGGAGGGTTTGCGTGTCTGGTTTTCTCTGTTCTCTTTGTGTGGAGCTGTGATGCTTTCCAAACGCTGGGCCTCTGAGCTGGCGGGAAGACTGCAGGAGGCAGAAGGAGGTGTGGGCGACAGCACCCCTTACCTGGACTCCAGCCAGACTCCAGCCAGAGCCAGACGCGATCCAGGATCTGGTGTTTGTGTTTTCCTAAACCTGGCCTCTGGACCTTTGCACATGCTGTTCCCTCCACCAGGGATGCTGTCCCTACTCTTCCTCGCTTGGTTACCTTCTGTTCGTTTCAGGAAGGCTGCTGGACCTCCCGTCGGTGTTGAGGACCTCCTCTGCCAACCCATGTGCCCCATCAGTATTTATCTTTCAGGGTCCTGGCTGCCTGTCTTGTCAGTTTCCCCACCAGTGAGGAAGCCCCATGAGAGCCGTGTGTCCAACCTAGCCACTGCTGACCCCAGCGCCGGGGGTGGGGCCCAACAGAAGGGTGCTCACCCAGAGCTGGCTTAGTGGATAGGAGGCAGGAGGCGGCGCCCTCATCTGTTGCCCCGGGCCGGCTCTGGGCCCCCATCCCACTCTCTCCCTCCTACTGTCCAGCCCCAGCTCAGCTCTGCCCTGCCCATCCCCGGGGTCTCACGCCAGGCCTCCCCCACCACACACACACACACACACATGCGCTTAGACACTCAAGGTGCTTCCCTGCTGGTGTGATTATCTCTTGATTAAGAGGGCATTTAATGAAATGATTTACAAGTTAGCCGTAGCGAGAGACCTCTCATCCGCTTCTCCCTCCTGCCTGCTTCTCCACAGCTCCACGCCTCCCCGCCTGCCCGGGGTCCAGCCCGGGGACAGTGTGTGCCGGCTGGAGGCTGCAGGGATCCTCCCCCATCCCGCCCGCCCGGACAGAAGACTTTGGTCCCAACCACCAGGCCCAGGGACCCGAGAAGCCGCTGTGGAGGGGTCACAGCAAAGTTGACCCATTAGCCTTGTTCTTCCCCAAGTACCTGCCAGGGCACAGAGGGTCTCGCCCTGGTCCCCACCTCCCTCCCTGCCTCTCTGCTGCTCCCACGGTGGAGTCGCTCTCGGGCTCTGGGCCCCGACTTGGCTCAGCTCTCGCAGGGCTGATGTGAGGAGCCAGGAGAGCGTCACACACGAAAGGGCAGAAGGGAGGGAGTCATGACAGCAGCCGCCACCTGGACGCACTCGAGGGGGCGAGCAATGCTCTCAGCGCCTTACGCAGATGAGCGGACCCAGTGGAATTAGAGTGAGTCCAATTTAATTACAGAATCCCTGGGCCGCTCTTCTGGCAGGCCGGCCCGTGCACACTTGATCCAGGTGCTGATGCTGCTTCCCGAGGCCCCGGGGAAGGAGTGCCTATTACCCCGTTTTATAGGGGAGGAAAATGAGGCCCAGGGAGGTTAGGGAACTGGCCCGGGTCACGCAGCTGGTGAGTGGCATTGCTGGGATGTGAACCCAGGCAGAAGGGTCCAGACACCCTGCTGCTATCCAGACCTGACTCAGAACGAATCAGATGATGCAGGAATAGGGTGAGAGGGAGGCCGTCCCGTTGGGATGCTGGAAGATTCCTTTTCCCACCACTAAATGGCCACTGTTACCCAAAGGCCACCATGAGCCACTCCTCTGGGTTGAGTGACACTTCATGGTGTCCTGGGGGCTGCTTTGCAGGATGCCCGAGGGAGGGGCAGGTGGGGACCCAGGGCCTGGGCTCCTCTCCGCCTATCTTCCAGTCTGTGCCGCCTCCTCCCTCCCTCGCCTCCCTGCCTTTGCTCTCTGGCTTTCTCCAGCTCTCCCAGCTCCCCCAGCTCTCCCAGCTCCCTCAGCTCTCCCCAGCTCTCCCCAGCTCTCCCAGCTCTCCCCAGCTCTCCCAGCTCTCCCCCGCTCTCCCCAGCTCCCCCCAGCTCCCCCCAGCTCTCCCAGCTCTCCCCAGCTCCCCCAGCTCTCCCCAGCTCTCCCCAGCTCTCCCAGCTCTCCCCAGCTCTCCCCAGCTCTCCCAGCTCTCCCCAGTTCTCCCCAGCTCTCCCCAGCTCTCCCCAGCTCTCCCCAGTTCTCCCCAGCTCTCCCAGCTCTCCCCAGCTCTCCCCAGCTCTCCCCAGCTCTCCCCAGCCTTCCAGGACTGCCCCCAGCCATGTTAGCTGTTCTTCCCAGATTCCCTGGGCCCCTGGACGGCAACCCAAGATCCAACTCCTTCACCAGCTTAAATCGCAGAGAGCAAGAGACAGAGCTGACGGCTTGAAACAGACAGGAAATCACTAAGACCCTAAACCTCACATGGCCGTCCCAGTGGACTTCCAGCTGGACTAAAGCTCTCAACCTAAAACAATACTAGAAAAACAGAAGAAAAGGCCGGGCAAGGTGGCTCACGCCTGTATTCTCAGCACCTTGGGAGGCCGAGGCGGGCGGATCACAAAGTCAGGAGTTCAAGACCAGCCTGACCAATATGGTGAAACCCGTCTCTACTAAAAATACAAAAATTACCCGGGCATAGTGGTGGGCACCTGTAGTCCCAGCTACTCAGGAGGCTGAGGCAGGAAAATCGCTTGAACGTGGGAGGTGGAGGTTGCAGTGAGCTGAGATAACGTCACTGCACTCCAGCCTAGGTGACAAAGCAAGAGTCTGTCTCAAAAAAAGAAAAAGGAAAACAGAAGAAAAAATACAGAAGACTTTTAAAAAAATGAAACTAGGAAGGAAAGGAAACCAGGGGCTAAAACGCAGAAAGACAGGAAGAAAAGCGTGACACAACTGACTGCATGAACATCTTAAATTTCTAGGAAATAAGTAACAATATGAACCCCAAAAAAGAAAAAAACTAAAGACAAATGGCCAGGAGTTAATACCTGTAATGTGTATTGGACAAATGATCGACAGCCTTAATATATAAAGAGCTCCCATGACTCAATATGAAAAGACAAAGCACTCAATGGAAGGGATGGGGAGGTTGGCGAGGCAGAGGAGGGGCCGGTGCCTTTGACATTCCTGTCAGGGCTCATCTGCAGGATGCTGGAATCAGGACCTGCTTAAATGCTTCCTCAAGCACCGTCTGCGGCTACTGATAGATTTCAATTAAGATACCACGAGCACGGGCACCATCGCTGCTCCAGGGGGTGGGTGGTGGCGCGGGCATGCCCCAGCCCTGCCGCCTTGTCCTTATCTTTACCCCCACCTGGAGGGGCTGGAGGGGCCTCAGGCAGGGTCTCCCCATCTCCCCTCCTTCCATCCGCCAGGTTCAGGGGATGAGGCAAGCTTGGTTGGGCGCCAGCGTGTGGACTCTGCTGGGGCTCCCCACACCCCAACACACGCACACTAGTGACCAGGGACCTCCCTTTCCTGAACCTCAACTTCCTCATCTCTAAAAGGAGGGGATGACAGCAGGGCCCCCACTTAGGTGAGCTGAGGTTTCGGGGGCGATCGGTCCATGGGAAACGTGTAGCTGGGCGCTCAGTGGGTAGGTGGTCAGCGTGGGGTGTGGGCATGAAGTCCACTCGGAGTGTGACCTTCCCTGCTGTCAGCATCCCTCGGTAACAGGGCTCAGCAGGCAGGTGGGAGAGGGCCCTGCCCTTGTGGGCCCGGGTGAGGAGGGGGCAGGCGTGGGTGGTGGGTCTTGCCAGGGGCCTCTATGCACACAGAGGAACGGCCCTGCCTCTCGGGTCCCTGCCCCCATCTCCCAGGGGTGTCACTGACTGTTCTTACAGGCCTGGGGCCCTCGTGACCCCGGCTGGTGTCCAGACTCCACTCAGCCTCCCAGGTGGTGCTTCCTGCCAGCCACACCGGCCCACACCTTTCTCACCCTCTCCCTTCTGGCCCAGGGACCCCTCAGCTCTGGCCCGCACAGGGGAGCTCCATGGATGTCCTCGTCCATCTCACCCTCTCCCTCCCACCCAAGGCCCCGCTCAGCTCTGCCCCGGACTGGGGGACTCCATGGATGTCCACACCCTGGGGGCATAAGTGCAGGAGGACACCATGGGGCATGCGAGGCTGCCCAGATGACACCAGGGCACATGGCCCCTAGCGCCTTTGTGTTCCACGTACATTCAAAACATGCAAGGGAGTGATGTCCCGGAGCACAGGGCTTCTTTCTGGAGTGAAGAACATGCTCTGGACCTAGTGGTGATGGTTGCACAATGCTGAATATACTAAAAACCACGGGGTCACGTGCTTCCAAAGGGGGAACTTGGCCGTATGTAAATCGTATCTCAAGAACAGCCAGAAAAACACGCCTTACTTCAAGACACAGCCACCTCCCAAATATGTAAGTAGATAGGACCTCAACCTTGTGATTCTTTTAGGATATTTTGCTAAGATAAATGATATTTCGTGTTGACAACTATGAAGTTTTGTCTAGAATGTTTTGTTTAGATAGTGAAATTTTAAGGAAATTTCAAAAATTTAAAAATACTCAGTGAAGGCCCAGCACCACGGCTCACGCCTGTCATCCCAGCACTGTGGGAGGCCGAGGCGGGTGGATCACCTGAGGTTGGGAGTTCGAGACCAACCTGACCAACATGGCGAAATCTCTACCAAAAATACAGAATTAGCCAGGCATGGTGGCACATGCTTGCAATCCCAGCTACTCGGGAGGCTGAGGCAGGAGAATCGCTTGAACCCAGGAGGCGGAGGTTGCAGTGAGCAGAGATCACGCCATTGCACTCCAGCCTGGGCGACAAGAGCAAAAACTCCATCTCAAAAAAAAAATAAAATACTGAGTGAATTTGAAGGTAAATAATCCGTCAGAACCTTCTGAGCCCCTACTTCGTGCCAGGTAGGGGCAGTGTCCAGCAGTAGGAAGGCGTGGGGGTGCCGCAGGCCCCAGCAGGAACCCTGGCTGGGAGCACCACTGGCCGCTCCTGGGAGTTACATGCTGGGTGTCCCTGGCACCCTAGGGCAGGGCGATATCGGGGCCTACTCTAGCCTCCCTGGGCCTGGCACTGGGCCTGGCACGCTGATGAGCATCTGCCCAAGCTCGCCTGACTCAGGACAGCCAGCAGATCCCAGTGACCCCAGCAGGAACCGGCCTCCAAGGGTGTGTGGGACCCTCCGCCTCCGCCTTTATGAGCCGTGTACATGGAGCCCACCCACGCTGATCACTTTCCTTGGCACTGTCTGGCCTCATTCCTTCTGAATGCCTGTCACCTTCACGCAGGACACCTGTGAGCTGGCTCAGACATGCTGAGGCCAGGAAAACCCAGCCCAAACCCATCCAGGGAGCAGCTGGGACCCAGCTATGTCCAGAAGGCATGGGGCAGAGGCCCACTGGGGCTGGGGTGGGGCTCACCTAGCCAGTGCTCCCCGGTCAGCCTGCCGAAGCCTTCTCGGTATGCGTCCCAGCCCCGGAAGAAGTTAACAGAGCCATCCTCTCTGCGCTGAAACACCTGCAAAGGAAGATGGGGATAGAGCGTTGGCCCTGACCATCCCAGGACTCACAGCCCAAGTGAGCCCATCCCGCCCGAGACTCCCCTCACCCTGCTCCCGACCAGCTCCCTCGGGAGGGCAGGGGCCCAGCCTCCCACTTCCTGCCACAGCCCCTGGCCCCGAGCCTAGAACACAGCAGGGGCTCCAGAGCTCAAGGTGGGATTGACCAAATGGCCACAGGTCCCCGAAACGGCTCCGCAGGAAGGAATTCCAGGCCAGGCGCAGTGGCTCACACCTGGAATCCCAGCAATTTGGGAGGCTGAGGCAGGAGCATTGCTTGAGCACAAGAGTTCAAAACAATATGATGGGACCCGTCTCTATAAAAAATTTTTTAAAAGACGCCAGGTGTGGCACCGGGCACTTATAATCCCAGCTACTTGAGAGGTTGAGGCAGGAGGATCCCTTGAGCCCCGGAGGCTGAGGCTGCAGTGAGCTATGATCACGCCACTGTACTCCAGGCTGCACGACAGAGCAAGACTCTCTTAAAAAAAAGGGGGGGGTGTGGGCCGGGCACGGTGGCTCATGCCTGTAATCCCAGCACTTTGGGAGGCCGAGGCAGGTGGATCACGAGGTCAAGAGATAGAGACCATCCTGGTCAACATGGTGAAACCCTGTCTCTACTAAAAATACAAAAATTAGCTGGGCATGGTGGCGCGCGCCTGTAGTCCCAGCTACTCGGGAGGCTGAAGCAAGAGAATTGCTTGAACCCGGGAGGCGGAGGTTGTGGTAAGCCAAGTTCGCGCCATTGCACTCCAGCCTTAGTAAGAGTGGAACTCCATCCCCCCCCC